ACTTATATTTTATTTAATATATATTTATACTTATATTTTAGGACATCACTTTATTAGAATAATAAAAACACACAATTTTATCATAACAGTCCTGCTTTATTTATCCATTATACACCAACGTTTCAGCCCTTAGGCCCTTTTTCACGGGAAGAAAACCATTTAAAAAAAATTAAAACACATGGACTAAATCGCTCTTGTAAACCTGACCAGTATTTGATTAGTTGAGTTAGACTGACATGGGCAATCCAGTCCATGTTTTTTATTTTTTTTATTTATTTATTTTTTTTTTTATTGATGATATTTACAACTGTATTACAAGTAAAAATACATTCAGTAAATGTGAACAAAATAATATAACAGCATGAAATCACTTGTTGAGAAACTAGCCACTGGTAGCACTCAAAAAATGTATTTACAAAAAGAGATCTCGAGGCCATCTTCTTTTCAGAGGCCTCGGAGGTTATTTTTTAAAAATAGGTTTCTCCTCTTGAAAATGGCCTAAGGGCTGAAACGTTGGTGTATGGAGGAGGAATAAAGTAGAACTTTTAGGATCGAATTGTGTTTTTATTGTTCTTTTATTTTATTATTTATGTTATAAATTACAATAAGAACATGCTAATTATTATTAGAATATTTAATTGGTAAAGGAGATGTTTTCGTTCATACATATCTTTATCAATAAAACGAACATATTCATACACATTTCGAACTTCCATTTACAACATACGGACACAATAAACTGATATATGCGTTAACGACCACTGGGCTATACAAAGGTACAAGAAATAAGTAAACATGGAGGACCTCCTGGGGATCGTTGCCGAAGGACATGGTCCGGGAGCAGTAAAGAATTTAATTTATCACCGGACTCCCATGCTCATAATCCCGGCGGTGAAGAATAAAGTCCTGCCGAAGATCCTGAAATATAATGTAGATATTGCCACAGATAATAAACGTCAATTATTGGAGACTTTACGGCGGGGGTGGTTGATGTTTTAATTGGGCCCAGTTAACCCGTTCTGGAGATATTGATGCGATTTCGTTCATGAGCTATTCATGGCTTTCGTAAAATATCATTTTATGTCTTCTGGGTATCATTAACAACTTTATTGCTTGATTTGAATATCGATCTTTCTTTTTTTCAAATGATAAGTTTTATTTTATTTTAATATTATTTATTTGTTCTGGAACTGCTAATCCCTTTACAATAAATAACGTGAGTCTTGAAAATATATAAAAAATAATGCATTCAAAAGCCACTATATTTACTCTAATTTAGTTAGGGAATTCATTTTTTATTATCAAAGAAGAAACAAACAGCTGGTCCCCACTAAAAGACCATTCCCCCTTAATTAGGGATCCCTACAAGTTGTAACATACTTGTAAAAAATTATAAATTTTTCACAAAAATCAATTATATACAAAAAAAACAATTAAGATCTATTTTTTCTTTGATGGTTGCTAAGTAAGACCTCATTTATATTATATGAAATTTCAGGATCGTATCTCCATTTTCAAAACTTTCTTAACATGACAGTTTATAACATCACATTCATTTTAATGTCAAACTCTAAAAAAAAAATAATAAAATTGCACTGCAGAAATTTGTCTTTAGCAAAATAAACTTGCTATGGAACATAATAAACTGTAATAATTTAAACCAATTATGAAATATCGAACTGCTATATTAAATTTCAAACATTTAAATACAAGCCCGAAACGTTAAATAATGTAAATATGTTTCATGGAAGATCTTGTTTTGCTTCTTACAAAAAAAAATTGTGTTAAACTTCCCAAAAAATCAAGAAGAAAAAAAAAATTAAAACCTAACGATTTTGTATAGTAATATTTTTCCTATTGGAGCTATCCCAGCATTGCAAAACTCGTATAGATATAAACTAAATATAAAATGAAGTATGTATTAATTAAAATCATAAATTAATTTGCATAGTACACAAATTAGAAAAATAGATATACATATCAAATAAATACATATTAAGTAAATAAGAATAAAATTATTCATTTTCATTTGATTAAATAAATACAGTGATATAAGATAAAATTAAAAAAGTTTAAAGTATACTCAGAATAGTTCTTTATAAACATACAGTTATAGGAACAAATATAAATTCTCTGCAAACCAATAATAAATAAAATATGAGATCTGAAAAATAAAATATAATATCGAGATACAAAGATTTCCGTCGAATAAACCGTCATTATTTTTTAGTGTGATTAAAGCTAAAAATAAGTAAATAAATAAGACGGTGTACAGATTAATTTTCATCTATGGATGAATCGGATTCACTAGTTGAATTGAAAGTAACGATATATCCGCAAGTGGATGAAAGATGTGGACAGTAAAACAACTCTTTAGTAAAACAGCTAAAGCAATATATCTACAGTTCAACTAGGCGGAAAATCGTTTTTCTAATTTTTTTTTTTTTAATTTTACATTAGTATGATAAAAATCATCTTCGTAAAATTTCATGTAGAAATAAATCAATAAATCTATAAAATTACTAATAATAATATATCTAATCTAATACAACAAAGTATCAAGAGCGATATGACATAAGAATACCATGAATAATTTAACCTAAAACATAAACCGTGGTTTACTGAGCACACAGTCTGAAGTACTGAAATCTTATAGGGCTTTGGACATGATTTTCTGCACCATTATTTTCCTGTTACAAATTAATAACAAAATAATCAAGAGACAGAACATGACTGGTTGGTTATTATTGGAAAAAATCCAAACCACACAGCCTTCCTTATGTCTACAAAATGCAGGCAAAGTAAAACCTGTCATCGTTTCGCCAATTTAGGCATCAACAGGACAGAAAATCAGGCAATAGAACATCACGCCATGAAATCCAAATGCATACTCCAGTAGTGGATTTCATGGAGTGTTGTTCTATTATCTGGTTTTCTGTCCTGATGATACCTTAATTGGCGAAACGTTAACGGGTTTTTCTTTGCCTATGTTTTGGAGACATAAGGAAGGCTGGGTGGTTTGGAATTTTTCCAATAATAACCAAAAATTTATGTTCTGTCTCTGGATTATTTTGTTATTAATTTATAACAGGAAAATAACGGTAAGAAAAATCATGTCCAAAGCCCTATAAGATTTTAGTCCTTCAGACTGAGTGCTCAGTTAACCACGGTTAAATTATTCATGATATTCTTATGTTATAGTGCGGTTCGGATTTTTTACCATAATAAGCTAACGTTTTTTTCCTTTTTTTTAATTGTATTTATTTTTCAAATTTAAAACAAAACTTGAAAAATAAAGCTATACCGTTACATAAAAGCGATTATCTTGAGCTGTTGGAAATAATAAGGTATTCTGCAGGATATATTTATTAAAAGAAATAAGATTTTAGAATCAATAATTGAAAATAAGCTTTACATTATTTTTGAAAATTACTGATTAATACAGGCCTAATTTTATTAATGTTAAATCGATGTTATGTCATTGCGCAACTTGATAGTAATAATAAATGGGTAACAATTACAAAAGGCCGAAGAAGGCGATGTTCCAGTATCGTTTTAATATTTTTTACAAATTCTTATAGCTCAGAGGTCATCAAACTTACGACTTGTTGCACATTAACATCATACCACTATTAAAAGTCAAAGACAGGACTACACTACAAGGACCGTAGACCAGACGAATAGACTATGAATTGAGAAGGTTATATAATGGAGTTCGTTTCCATTAAGATTCCAAGCATAGGCTAATGCCTGTGAGAACATCTCCATTTGCCAATAAAACACAAATTTTATTCCTATGCAATGTAAATAAATGATATATGTGCATAGTTAATTTAACGAACAACTAAGGAATGCTTACAGCTGTTCGTTTGAATGAAATTAGCGGAATGTAGACAAAATATTGAATGCACGATTCATTATGCGCTTGCACTAGCAGTTTCCTTCCCAGCCACCCAAACTTGGAACATTGCATGCTTGCATATTTAAATGCTTCTTTAGTACTTTTAGATTGTTTCAGCACATTTTTACTTTGTAAATAGGTTAGTGAAATATATATTTATTTATTTTTTTAATATAAATCGTATACATCTAAAATCATAAACTAACGCCAAAGAGTAATGGATATATATTTTTTTCAAATTAACGCAATAATACATTTTCATCGTAATTTTTAATGTACCCAGTGCTTACTGAATGTACTAAATATCATTGGTTTTTATAAACAATGTAATTTATTTCTATTTTTTTTTTAATTTAACATAATAATCGTGATTGAGTTCTAAATGAAAAAAAAAATCTACCGATTGGATTCCATTTTATCATCATAAATCAAACACACATTATTATTTTAGTGTATCCTTGAATTTACTTAAAAATTTTATACAAATTATTAAAATAAAGAAGTCAAGTTAATAATTTATGTCAATATACCTTTCTACAGTGTATGTTGTTTTAATGTATGCAAATAAAAAATAATAACCATAATGTACAAAATAATACTCAGAAGTTTTTACTTGGATCCAATTATTTGTTTCATCTCATAATTAAAAATTTAATTATTCGTTCTAATTTTCTCAGATTAGGAATGAAATCGACAAAATAAATTTCTGAAACAACAAAAAAAAGAAGTTGTGTTTATTGATGTTTTAAAACAATTGTCAGAGCAATCCTATCTACAATAAATTAATTACTTTAACTGACACTCTGGGGCCTCACTTATAGCCTCGTTATAAGGAACACAATTTGGTGTCCAAAGGCTAATAAAGCAATAATGACTTCATGTCGTAAATTTAAGTTGGTTGAAGTTTCTTACGGCACCTCACAAATATTCCAACAAGCAGGCAATCCATTCCTAAACTATTCTCGACTCTATCTGATGATACCTCCATTTTGCGTCTCCGTGACTAACCTCAAAGACTAGTGCTGGAACTAACCCGAGCTGTAAGCATTCCTTCCTCGGAATACGAGGCCGGTGATGACGAAAGATGATGTGCCTCCAGAGCCAGCTGGAAGCACGCCTTCATCACCCCGGGCACGAAGTGGTGCGGGCCGAGCAACAGGGCGAGGACGTACGACGAGCTGGGGATCCAGTTCGAGGCGGACCGGTGCTGCCGGAGGCACGACCAGTGCCAGAGGTACATCCTCGCCATGTCCCAGGGCTACAGCAACTTCAACTTGAGCCCTTTCACGCTCAGCCACTGCACCTGCGACAGGAGGTAGGTCTGTCATCTTTAACTTTCTCCCTTTAGCTATCTCATCTAGTCGACACTTTAGTCATGGACAATAGTTTACTTGGTGACCCAAGTTGATTTGTTTAGCCAAGTTAGATTTGCTGTAATTTTTCCGCCAAGCGATAGCCCAGCTTAGTAACCATGTAAATTATAAGCAAAGTAAACAGCTATTTATTTGAGATTTTTCTTTCTCTAAAGTCATTTTACACGGTTCAATATTTTGAAACAGAAATCATAGTTAAGTAGTTTTGTTTTCAATTCAATCACCTGAAGAGATCTCCACAGACTTTATATACCCTTTTACATAATTAAAGTCCAACTTAACCTCGATTTTTATTTGTTTATTGATGTTAAAAATTTAAGAATGAATAACCATTCAATAGCGTAAATCCCTTTTCCGACTTTCAGAAGCAATGAATTTCGATCAATCAACTATCAAATGAAAACTACAATATCCCATTTTCGAGATAAATGTTAATTTTTGCGGAATGCCTCTCAATTGCTCTGGTTGCCATGGGATGCTTATCACGTTTTCATTTTGTTTTAAAAATAAAAATTTCTATTTATGATAGTGTTCTAGCAACTAACTAAAAATTTATTGAAAAGGTATGTGTAGAAGATTAGCTTCATAATCTGTTAGATACTTCGTATAATAAAGAAAAAAACTTTTTGAACTATGTAATAGTGTTGTAAAAAACAAGCCTCGAGCACCGGCTCGTGAAAGCTGGTCTCAAGAGTCTTTAAACCTCTAACCTCCAAGGCTCGAGTTGAAGGCTCGTAGAGTTCTAGTCTTGATGAATTTATTTTAAAATAAATAAATTGAATTATTGTACACTTTCGTAAGCAAGTATATTTCTTCGGTTTGTTGTAACAATGTGAATATATTTCCGAAATATAAAGTAAACATATTATTTTTCTGTTGATATTAACAATGAATATATTTTTGAAGTATAATGTAAATAAATAGATGGGGAAAAAGAAGTGAAGTTCCATCCGCGACTCGAGCCTTTTACAATACTACCGAGTCTTGGCCGAGCCGAGAAAGCTCAAACGCCCTTACTCGGTCAATATTATTGAGTCAATATGCAGTTTCGTCTAACATTGGCATTAATTATATTGACGTCAATAAAACTGGTTGATGTCAATTTTTACTTTCACTTACGTATATATGTAATATATAGTAAGTGTAAGTATTGCGAGTTTTCGACGGATTTATACGTTTTGAGGTACCCTGAGTCGAAATGACCAAGTCCCGAAAAATGGTCTGTGTGTCTGTGTGTTAGCAGTCTAGCTCAAAAACGAAAAGTCCTATGAAACTGATATCACGTATTTAAGATAGGTATATGCCTTAGTTGTGATGGCAACTTTTTCCTTAAAATCGGCTAACCGGAAGTGCCACTTTTCTCAAAAACGACTCTAACGATTTTGATAAAACTCGGTGTATCATTGTATAATTAAGTGGTCTTTAATATAAATTATAAATCCACCTAAGCAAGTTGATGGCATTGTTAAAAAAACTATTTCAGTGTACTTGTGTGAAAGAAGAAATAAAATATAAAATCATTTCATCGATGTATAAATCATGTGTTTATAATATTAAATACATTTACTGTAGTTTAGTAATTATTTATTAAATTTTAAATTGGTCCATAATCGTCTTATCTTTTTGGCTACATTCAAGGAATTGCTGTGTGGGATGTTATATTGCGTTCCTGGCGTTTGAGAATTTAAAGAGAAAAAAGGAATGTTTTTTTATTTTGGGAAAGTGTTTATTATGCTATGTATATTGTTTAATATGGTTTATTGTTGATAATTTGTAAGAGTATAGTTATGAAGGGGGAGAAAAAAAAAAAGAAAAATATAATATAAAATTAATGTCCGTATGGATTGATAAGTATGCTGTGTACGAAGCAACCCTATGTAGTAGGGCAGCATTACTTTTAATAAAGTATTTCTCTATAAATAATTAGGTATTAAAGTTAATTCCAAAATATTGTCATATAACTTTTTAGAAAACTAAATTAGTGAATAATTCGATAGATCTTCCCTTTGTTATATTCCACTACCATTTCATTGTACTTGTGTGAAAAAAGAAGTGAAATACAAAAATATTTCATAGATACGTTTATAACCCTAAATATATTTACTGTAGTTTAATAACTCTAGATCTCATAATATATTTAAATATTTAGATATCTATCGTCCGTTTATTCCGAAAAATCACCATGTAACCTTTTAGAAAATTAAATTAGTGAATAGTTTGATAATTTTTCTTTTTGCGATATTCCAACAGAATCCACTTACAATTAGTGTGACATCTTTTGACCTGTCTATGACAGACACTGCAAATCTCTTAATTCCGTTTTAATAAACTTTGCAATGGAAAATAACAGTTTAATGCCTTTTAGTCGTACGATCCATAATCAATGGATCGAACAATCCATAATCAACGAATCGTACAATCCATAATCAACCGGTGATATAATAAATAGGACTTTTGTTATTTTAATAGCATTTGTGTTTTTTTAGCTTTAGCTCAGTTTAAAATGCAATTTAAAGCATTTTATAATATCCTAACATGGCCAGAAAATAATTTTTATTCAAAGTTCAAAGAGTAAGTGAAAGTTGTGTGTTGCGCGCACCAGATTTTTTTTTTATTAGAGCTCATTCGTGTAAAGGCCTATATTGAGCAATATTATACTCTGAGCGATACCAAATTTTTGATGCCAAATATTATGGATAGATGGGTGATACTTTATTTAACTTTTTTTTGGGAAGGGGGGAGGGATTAGCCTCTCTCTGAATTTTTTATTAAAGATAAAATAGCAATATGTTTGGGTAGGTGGGTGATACTTTTTCTAGTTTATTTATTTATTTTTTTTTTTTGGTGGAGTCGAATTATTCCCTCTCTCCCACAAATATCTCCCTCTCCCCCCCCGAATTTTTTTAAAGAATGATATGTTGGCAATATGTTTGGTGGGTAATGTTTTTTACTTTTATTTATTTATTTTTTTTTATAAAGAGATAGGAATCTCAATAAGATAGGGGAAACAATATACTTTGTTTCAATTAAAACTATAATTCAAGGAATCACCAAAGATGTAATACTACTAACATCATGTAGAACAGTTTATAAAAATCGTCAGATAATTTAAAAAGTCCATTAACAAACATATGGTAAAAAACAAGTAATGTTCGAGCCTTTTACTGGCAAGCTCTTAGGACTCGAGTCATGGCCGAGTCGGGAAAGCTCGAGCTTTTTCGGCTCAAGCCTTATAGCCTTCTCATCGAGCCTTTTTACAACACTACTATGTAATAGACGATTGGTTGGAATAATCTCGCAATTTATCGCCCTAAAACCCCTATCCTGTAATAAATGTTAAAAAATATCCAGATATAACTCCTGTACTCTCAATAATAGACGCACATACTCTTACAATTAGTAAGTGAGAAAAATACAAGCTAAGCTCTTCATCACCAAACAAATATGTCTTGAGCTAGTAGAATTATAGCGGGAGCAGAGATAATTATGTAACTGCGCCTTATTGCTTAGCTATTAAAGTATTTGGGCTATTTTCCAGTGGGACAAGCTAATCACAATTTCCCAATTTCCCGTTGTCACCTGATATCAAATATTGTTCATTTAAGAAAATATTATGATGTTCAATAAGTTTTCACCGCAAACTTGATTGGAAATTGATTCTTACCTATTAGTTCAATTGCTAATTGTTTGTCTTCCGAGTATATGATTTAACTGCTTAACTCAGAAGCTGATGGAATCTTTTGTAAACAATTTAACTCAATACATTTAACGCTCTATAATTTTCCTAATAATCAATAATTAACAGAAATGATTCGATAAAAATCATAATTAGTAAACTATTCCATAATAAATAATTGATGTAAATAGCAATTTTAATAATAATTAGCTTGGAGAAATAATATATTTTTTAAAAATATTTGATGGTATTCTCTAAATTTATTAGATTATGCTAAGTGTTATATCAAGAAGCTTCCCGGCTGGGGTCGTTTAATTAGCGTATCTCCCGCCAAAACAGGTTTTGCCCGGCAAAAACTGCTAATGGCGCCATGGAGGATGGACCGCCGAAGACATCTGTCGGCTTGGACCAGTTCCAACCTCACTGCCCATCGGCGAGCATGCCCTGCTTCATTCCTAATTAATTCAAAAGTAAAAAAAAAATATTAGATTTTACTACCGAATCGTAATTATTCCATTCTTTAATGAGCATTTCCGTTGATGGTGGCTAAAACAGTTATATGAACCTGCAATTAACAACAATCAAATTATTCATTATAACATAATTGCTTTTCCGAACATCATATAAGAAAAATGTTTACACACTTTTTAAACTTGATTTAGACAGAAATTTATACTTAAAAAATGCGCAGCTTTTATTTATTTTTTCTGAAAATAAACTGTTTTACAACTTTATTGATTAACTGATTATCACTTTACTTTTTTATTCATATTCATGGAAGCGAAATTTCTTATGATGAACAGATAATATTAATAAACTAATGCACATTCATCAAAACTTAAGCTGTCTCCTCTTTAGATACGATGGCGTGAATAATTGTGAATTTTGAACTTTATCGATGTAAAAACTTAGTATGCAAAGTAAGTGTATCTGAATGACACAAACCCATTCAGATATTAAACGTAGTTTGAGCAAACACCAAGGGCACGATGTTGTGGTTTCAGAGAGATACAATTTATCAAAGTACTTAGTGATTTTATTTCAAGAAATAATACTTAATGTCTTTTTACTAAAAACCCAAGATACGTTTAGCGAAAAATCGGATTCTCCATATCTGTCATTAGGAAAATATTTGTAATTTATCATATCATTGCACTGTCACGGTGTTGATATGAATGATTGATAGAATATTAGGCAATGAAATATTAAACTATTCTCCGATATGAAACTTACCTTTTATTGAAGGTTTATATATATCCGGGACCAGAAAAAGGATTTTTGCCGGGAGGGACATGCTTAATTTGGCCCCAACCCTCTCCCACCAAATTAAAGTCATTATTTTCGGTAATATATCTCAAAATTAATATTTTTGTCTTAATAATTTGTCTCTGAATTTTTTTTTTTTGTTTATTTAATGGAATTTACAACTGTATACAAATACAACTAGTAAATATGCGCAAATATAAATAATGACATGTAGAGGCTTGAAGGGTTACTACCCAGTGGTAGCACTCTCTAAATAATTTTAAGTAAGAAGATCACGAGGCCATCTCCTTTTCAGACGCCTAGGAGGGTTATCAGGAATCGAGGAAGAAGCAAGAGTGGAAACAAGCGGATTTGGATGGGACTGAAGTTTATCATGAAAGGATAGATATCTGGCTCGAGCTAAATCAGCGACATATGGTACATTAAGGTCTTTATGAATGGTTTTATTTGTGATGGACATTAAGGATTTTACGGAGGATTTTGGATTGTAAGGATTGGATACGTTGTGTGGAGTCCCAAAGCTCAACTCCGTATGTCCATATAGGTCTTATTATAGTTATGTAGATAAGTCTTTTGTAATCAATAGAAAGTTTGGAGCGTTTGTCTAGTAAGTGTTGGAGCAGTCGGAGTCTCTGAATTAAGGTCATAACAACCAACAAATAGGAAATATTCTTTACTTAAAATTTTTATTTTTTCGAAATCGCCATTCTTCAAGTTCTGCCGTCCGATACAAGTGCCCCATTTTCTCCTTCCTCGTTCCGATCCTAGGTATAACGCATAACAAAAAAATAAAATAATAAACATATCTGACTATATTCCAAATTATGTCAATATTATTTTTTCTTATATTTATTTTCACATCCAATTGCCAATTATTCAGATAACGAACTAAAAAATTAAAAGGAAAATAAAAATGACAAGATGTTCGTTGGCTAACAGAGTCATCAACTTCTTTCGGTACCCTGTGATACTCGAGCTGACATGAAGAGCAGACGTGACTCAGCTCCCAGTAGCACACGTCACGGGCTGACAACCCTTAATCCAACTATCTCCCGCCGATCTAGTAGGAGTACAAGGAAGTTCTTGTACCACATCCAGGAGTGTGGGAGGAGAGCTACTTAGTTACCAATTAGTATTCTGAAATGGTTCCGAAACTGCCGACATCAGGATGAATACGCACAGAGTTATATGTATGCGCTTAATATATTCGTAGCATAAAATGCATATTGCCGTTACTTTTGGGGGATTTCCTGAAATCCGTTGTTATCAGTTCATATCACCTGTTACCCCGAATGACATCGCACAAATCAGGCAATATATTTCACTTTATCCAATCTAGGGCGCAAATAGGGTGGTTATTTGTGAAGAGATAAGTGAATTATTGAGTCTCTAAATTGATTTTTATTGTAAAACAAAGATAACATACTTTAATGTAGCATATTTTTGAAGTAGTCATCATATAGTAAATCTCTAAACATCTAATAGATAAAATCTTAAGACGGATAAACACTTAAAAAAACACTTAAAATTACTTCGATAATTAACGCATTTCCTAAAGAATATATAACAAAAATTTAAGAAGATCTATTTGTTACTGTCTTTCTGTCTAAATTGTTTGAATGAATCACACATAGGATTATTCCTATTATCTTTAAGTGGATCAAAATGTATTTTTTCTTAATGAAGGAGATCTAATAATTAAAAAATAATGAATGAAAATATCTCGAAAGTTTATGCAATACATAATGAGATCAAAAACAAATTGTGTGAATCGTAATACATTTTAATGAAAGAAACACACCATTTAAATATAATTATTTTCAAAAGTAATTGATTAATAATAATAATAAAATTAATTAATGAACTATTTTTAGATCCGAAACATGTCTATTGTAAGATTAACAATCAGCTGAATGATCTTAATATAATTAAGGACCAGATAGCAAAATTAATTAGAAAAAGCGATTGATTAACTCGACTCCTCATACAGACCCTTTTTGATTCATATGGTACGCTGTAATAATCTAGAGAACAGCGTAGATCAGTGATAGGATACTAAATTTCAAATGCTCAAGATCTCAGGTTCGAATCACACCGGCTCATAGCAGAAAAATTATTTATTCTGTTTCATTGGCCGTGGGCCGTCCCTGGGTAGTGAGAACCTCCTGGGGCACACCCAGCCTCTACAAAGTGGGTACCCTTAATCAAATAATTTATTAAGGAGGAAAACCTGGCGGTTGATCGTGATCCAGGCCAGATCTCCTCCCTGCACAACCGTTGGCCTTGTAACTGTACTTTCCCTAAATAGTAATGAACCCGAGATCCTTCATGGATTGTAGCGGTACAGGTTTGTTTGTTTTGTAATAATCTAATAATGGACATTTAATTTGTTATAATTATTATTATTTCATCGGCGATGTAATAACATGATAAATATTTTAAACTTTTTGAGCAAGGGTTTAAGATATACTACTGCAAGAGTAGTCAACTAGTCGGTTTTGTTGAACTGATATCAGCTTTCTTTGATTTTTAAAATTAACAGGTTTATTTAAATCTAAAAAAAAAGTTCTAGTTATTTCAACTGTGAAAATGGACAAACAGGCGTCATCTAAATCATCATACCACTCTTACACTTCTTTAACATCAATCTGGTTCATTATTTCAATTGAAGAAACGACATAAGTTTCTAACCGGTATATAGAGCTCATTAAATATCGACTAAGAATATCCCCTAATCTATCGCATGCTTTCACTTTAATATCCCAGTTTATTGGTGCTTGGAGGTTAATTTTAGGAATCAAGTTTAATCGGAAGATGATTGATGGATAATTATAATGTCGCGATGAGAATTACGACATAAATATATTTATTTACTACTTAATGACTTAGTTCACTAACGGTCTGCTTAAAACTCAATCAGCAGTAACTATGTAAAAGGCTGTGTTACATGTTAACACCAGATATGGAGATTAATTTCGATTTGGTCAAGATATCTATTTTATAATTAAATAAATGTTTGTCCACTAAGAACAATTCTAAAGTTCTTATTAAAAGAAAAAATTATTTTATCATTTTTTATTTTTATTAAATAAAAATGATTGATCGACTAGAAATATTTTATATATCCATAAACTAAATCGTAAACCTAATCGTAATGGCACTGGTAATATAGGGGATTAATGAGAAAAATGCAATAATTGTGTGTTGAAAATAGTTTAAGAAAATTATAAAGAAAAAATAGATGAATAATGAGGGAAAAACATGATTCCGTGGGGGTTTGGAGGAAGTCTTGGTCATCTTTTTTTTTTTTTGTTCAACCCTACCTCGCCTTTTAGGCTATAGAGGATTTTCTGGGGCCCAGGGTCGAGGGCGGGAAATTTAAAATCTCCTCCCGCACCAAATCTCCTGAGGAGCACCAGTACTTTATAATCTTCTCAAATCTGTTATCCGGTTGCCAGGCAACTCGCGGTGCTGTGCGCACAAACGCATTAGCCCATTCGGTCACCCGGCCCCGTAAGTCTTGATCATCGCAGGCTGAGGGAGTTAATCAGTAACACACTATTAGACCAGTTTGTTCCTCATATTTTTCCCTTATTTGATTTTTTGGCCCTCTCCCCTTTTTTCATCAACATTTTTTTTTTGTTATTTTCTGATAAATCAGTTTTTTATAGTTGCTTAGCAGCTAAGTAAGTCTTCTAATAATCAGAACTGCGTACACGCTTTCTTTGTTGCGTTTTTTTTTAATACGAAGGATTGGTATTATGAAATGAAAAAATAATTTAATTCTGAGGCTACAGTCCCCTAAGAATATTAACAGTGTTACAAATATGTGTATTAGTCTGGCTTAAAATAACAAAACATACAAGCTAATATACTGCTTATTGTTATTGCAGTTGTGCAATAGTTGAAATTACACAGTATATAGATACAAGTAATTTTACATATTGGCGGAAGTTTGAATGTGGAGTAGGTGGTGGAACAGGAGTTGTTTGAAGGAATTTGTCGACGAGGATTGACGTATAAAGGTAGGAAGAAAGTTCCAAAAGAGGGTAGCTCAATTGAATAAAGGATTCGCTGAAGGAAGTAGTTTTATGGGAGGGGAATATAATATAAATCTATAGATTGAGACCTAGTATTGCAAGAGTGGTTCTGAGAACTTGGAAAAGGAAAACACGAAGGAGGAATTGTCAGCGGGGAGTAGGATAAAGCCACTTCAAATCGGTGTACCAGAATGGTACATGCGAACGTCTGCGGATCCCAAAGATGTATCTTATGAAACAGTATTATATATTTATTTTTTAAGCAAGATGTAGTGACTTGCGTCACCGCGTATGGAGTTGCCTGTATCTCTTTTTATGTAGATATTTTTTCTTTTTTCAGGAAAATGAGCCAAGATTCGACTTGGGGTTTAAAAAAAAAAATGCTTTTGTCATATTCTTAATCTTTCAGAAAATTGCTTAATATTACGATCAAAATAGTCCAGGTGAGTAGTGAAGGTGAGTTCCGAAATATTTGCATTTGTTTATTTTTTCCACCAGCTTTTGTAGATTTGTTGGAATGAAATAGTGAGATTTTTTATACATTGATTGTACCGCAATATTTAATTTAGAAAACTTACTTAGCAATGCAAAGCATTAGAAAATCTATTAGTAGAGCTTTCTATGATCTGCCTTATAATTTTATGACTGAAGACTGGCTTTTAGTGCCGTAGCATCATCCTTTATAGATATTGTAAATACCTTTCCAAAGCACCTTTCGCACCTACAATGTGCTATGTTGATTACCTTACTTGCTGTGCGATGTCCTCGAGGTCGCCGACGGACAGGGAGCTGCTGAGGATGCCGGGCACCCTGTGGTGCGGAAGGGGGTTCTCGGCCAGCCGCTACGGCCAGCTGGGGCCCTTCCTGGAGGCAGACCGCTGCTGCCGCCGCCACGACACCGCCTGCCCCCACTACATCGCGGCCATGAGCCACGGCTACGGCCTCTACAACTGGAGGCCCAGCACGCTCATGCACTGCTCCTGCGACAGGAGGTAAGTCTTCCAGTGCGTCATTCCTCCAATCTTATACAGGTGTTGTTAGTCGGACATCCAGAGAAGCTTCTAATCACCTGGAATATAAGAGTATTCCACTAAGTTCCATGATACTCAGAAGTAACACCGATCTAAAGTACATCAGGAATTTCCAAAAGCCATCCATTTTAAAATACGAATATAGGCCTATGAAAGATTTGGATCATCAACGCTCAAAAGGTGCTCAATGACTTTCACTCCAACGACCATCGGCATCACATTCCTTGGATTGATAAACTAGAGCCAAATTTCTAAGACGCACCAATTAGTTTTATTCTTTCAATATCAAAAATGCTTATAAACAACACAAGACATTTAATGATAAAGAAGGATAGCGATGTTATGTAATTGGTGCTCATGAGATGAAAGATTAAACGCATAGGATTAAGTACAATCGATTCCTTATGCAGACAGCATTTTGCATGTCCGTGCTAAGACTTGCCAAAGATTCCAGACAAGAGAGGTATGCGTTTGGCTGGAGTTAAAGTCTCCAATAGCTTCATGATTCCAATTCTTCTGCCTATGAATCTAGATGTTTTTTATCATTATATTGTATAGCATAAGAATTATTCTGTATAATTTTGAAATTTGAGAAAATAATATTGGATTTCGACCGAACTCTCATAATCTAAATACTTATAATAGATTAATTGTAATATTTACATAATTTTGTTTAAGACTGTTTACATAATTTTTTTTTAAGACTATGTACATAAAAATATTTTTAACATCAAGCCCAGATACATGGATTATAATTAGCATATTATTATGAAACAAGAATATACATTACGTACGAAATATCCTTAAAATGAAATGATTATCAATAATTTAACAATATAAAAGAAATGCTTTGATTTCATTTTATTTAGGAATTTGCCCCTCTGTTGTTCATTACATCATTCATAACCCGTCAGAACTTTGCAAAATTGATTTTTTTTTCTTATCCCTTCTTTTATTTATCTTCGTCATGAATCCTAGGATTCTTTGTCTTTAATAATCCTTTTACTAAAAAGCATTGTAAGGTTAATTTTGCTTTTTTTTTTTTTTTTGTCGTTTCTGAGTATTTCTTCTACATCTGTAATATAATCGGTGATGGGCCTCACCTTAGGCCTTATCCTCTAGAATTTACAACTAAATTAAAAAAAAAAAACGTATGGAAGTTGTTACCAACCTTTTGGAATATTGGCTGGTAATAAGTTCGTTTAGTGAAAAATACTTTTACTGTTGATAAATGTAGCGCTTTTTGTATATCCAATGCATCGTGGTTGGTCCACTATTTTCCTGATTATTCCATTTTGGAAATATTGTAATCTTTTCGCAGTTGCTTTGCTGACATGATCAAACAGATGTGCGGAGTACAACAGAGTCGGCTGTATTATACTTGTATATATGAGGAGCTTTAGGCGTAAAGATAGATTTGTTGTCCTAATTAAATTTCGGATATACTAAATTGAATATATATAATATATAATTTATATATTCAATTTAGTATATCCGAAATTTAATTAGGACAACAAACCTATCTTTATGCCTAAAGCTCCTCATATATACTAAATTGAATTATTGCTCTTTCAATTCTTATCAATAACGTTCAGATTTAAAAAGGCGAAAATAAAGAAAACTCCTCAAATGTTTTTATGTTATATCTTCAGTGTTAATTTGTTGATGGAGATCGGCTAGGTGCCATTTCATTTTCATTAAATCCTTTTTTTTCCCACATGGGTAGCTAGAGTCGTATTGAACTTATTAATCATAATTTTATCAATTTCCGAAATAATTTTTGGAATGGAAAATTTTAATTTTTAATTTAATATGAAAATTCATGTTTAAGAGTTGGACAGAAGTTAATTGTATATATTACAATAAATTATAGATAACATAAGAATAGCCAGAATGGCCTACCCATATTAAAAAAAAACAAAAATGGTATCACCCACATGCCAGAGATATTAGAATAAAGTGTATGTGAACATATCTTCATTTGAAATATATTCATGCAATATATTTGCATAAGTCAACAAAACTCCAATCATTAAGATTTTCAGACACCTAAATTTTCACCATCTCACCCGACTTGGAGAGAAACGCTCTCCTCAAGACTACCTGAAGAGAACAAATAGACCTATTAGGCGATAGTGAATTATTAACTAGTAGAACCCCATTACTGACTACTATACCAGCCACTTGACGAGGCCAAAGCAAATATTCTGCAGTTCCCACAGCCCTGTAGTCAACCAGATGTGCCCTAAGTCAACACCCACTGCCTGCCTTCCAGGATCTGAGCAAACAGGGTCACTTGATATCTTACAGTGGCGCTTCTTTGTTTCTTCCTTTGGTGTCTTTGACTATAGGAATATGAGAGGATCCTCAGATTCTAGATAGCAAAGGAGGCGTCAAGTAATAGATTTTCTTGAAGAGATTGTTCGAAATTAATTGTCAACCATAGCAATCTTAAAGTTATTTAGTAAATAATATATAGTGACAAGTAAAAATGGTAACTGGAATTCCACCGTAGATTTAAAAAATATAAGTATACGTATGAAGTGGGGTAGCTCACTGCTAGAGCATCTTCCAATGCTCATGGTTCTAGGTTCATAGAGAAAAAAAAAAAAAAATTCTGTTTTATAAGCGGTGGGACGACCCTGGAATCAGGAGACCCTCCTGGTGCACACCAAGCCTTTATGAAAAGGGAACCCTTAATTAAATAATTAATTAAGGGGAGGAAACCTGAAGTTTTAAACGTGGTCTTAGTCAAGTTTCCTCCTTGCACTACCGTTGACTATGAAACGGTACTTTTCCTAAATGGTACTAAACCCAAGACCCTTCATGGTGATAGTGATACAGGTTTTTTAGTTAATATACATATATATATATATATATATACACGTATAGGAAAATGTAAAGAATTTGTAGGTTAGAAGTATCAATGACGAAATTTACCAACAGCGAAGATTTCGAAGTCAAAATAAATATAACATATCTAGTAACAAAATGAAATCACGTCATTCGGTCCCAGAATAGCAAAATATATTTTCATTCATTCATTCATATAAAATTATATAATTAGCCCATTAATGACTAGTGACAACATACCACCTTGAGCGTTAATCTCTTTTCTTTTTAATATAGACTTACACTTTAGTAAGGTTTACGTTAATTCATAAAGAAAAAAGTTTTTTTTTTTTTTGTGGGAAACAAATTTGAGTGAATATTCTCAACTATGGGTACTTAAAATATTAGCCATAAAAAGTATGAAAAATTATCAGTTCAGCCGTAAATTGGACAAAGCAGATCCTACTTACTAATAAATTAATAAAAATATAGATATATTTAAATATATTACTCCCAAAAAAATTAATAAATTAATAGTAATATAGATATATTTATATTTTAAATTAAATTTCAATAGACGGTGATCGAAGGGGGGAGGGGCAACTGGGTTTGAAGCCACTGGGCCCCGGTCTCGAAAAGAAGCTCCGCCAAATCTACAAAGTTTTATATAATAATTTATATTAAAATAAAATACATAAAAAAGAATGATTGATTGCATAATAATCATGTAATACCTGTGCATAATATATTTTTACGTACATTAGGAATGACGACGTAGAGTTATAGAGGAAAATTCCATATTTGACAAAATCTCAAGAAAATTATCCCTGCTACTTTCGATTTTCCACCACGGCCCTGGTGATACAAACTGTACTGAAAGCCGGGTTGGGAAGGGCCCCGCCCTACTGAAGTGTTACCATGGATACATGTGTAAGCCACGCCTCCAAAGGGCATATCCTCTTTATCAATGAAGTGTTAATATGTTGTGGTTAATGATAACATGAAAATATTTTGATTTATCACACACAAGAAAAATATTAATACACTTAAATTTAAAACTTATCTATAAAAAAAAACAATTTATTGAAAAAAAAAGCTAGAAGTATATTTATTTTGAAAATTTATAAAAGAATTGAGAAAATATCAAAGAGTTATTACAGTTTTATTGGCTTTCTTTGATACATTAAAATATTTTTTTTTTTTAACGATTGTGTTACTTTAGAAGGATGAACTACCCCTCTAATTGAGGAATAGATGTTATTTTACACATACTTTCTAAAATCTTTCTTATTAGATATTGACTTCCGTACACAATTTCAAAAATTCATTTTAACAGTTCAATTGAATTAATGATGATTTTTAATTTTTAAAAGTTAAAATTATGATGCATTTATTTCTTGGATACAAAGTAAATATGATCACTAGTAAATGATCAAAAATATGATCCAGGATTTAATTTTTGGAGGGGGGGGGGGCTTCAGCCCGATAACTTTTTTTTCATATATATAATGATAATTACTTCGAAAGAAAAATAAAGATATTAACTACATATATGAAATGGTGTTTAAATCATTCTTTAAGTCCTATTAAATGTAATTAATTACACGTGCAATAATACTTTTAAAAAAATAATTTTTAAATATTTATTTTGCAATAAAACATGGTGTGGGGGAGCTTCAGCCCGAAAGCCTCCTCTCCCCCGTAGATCCACCTGTGAATATGATCAATCAGTTTTTGAAAAAAAATAGTTTTAACGCCACTGAATTAATAATGTTTGAATTTAAAAAAAATTCATACATACATTCATACATTAGGCAGCTCAAATATCTTAGAAAGTTGTGTTTTCGTTAATTTAGTACTTCTCTTCGCCTCATTTCTCAGTTGAACTCAACCAATTGAACCACCACCTTAAGACAAAACGAAGAAGGGAAGATATATCGAAGAAAGGGGATACAGCGATTACTATCACAGGTCGACACGAGTACTTAAACTTGACCTCATTTCCACTTCACACCTTAGCCGAGAACTGGTAGGATTACACCGGCTGATATATGGCCACTGATAAGACAAATCTTTGTCAAACATAGAGTCCCCGGCGCCCAGTCAACAGCTACCAGTCCTTATCAGGATCGGGAGTCAACATCTTTCATGTTGAGAGGAATTCTCATTCAGAAACAGGACGAATCGATATAATAAAGTAATATTGAGCAATGGATCACTATTATCGTTTGTTAGCCATGATTAATTCATTCATGGGTAATTTGTTCCCAGCTAAGTGTGTAGAGGTTATATTCTTCTCATTAGGGAACGAAGAATTATAGTTCATTAAGAATCCTCCGATATATATTGGAAAATCCTAGGAAATAGTCCACAGGTGGGGAAACTGAGCGCCTCCGTTAGTTTTTGCGTGACCATAATATATCGTTGGAATATAATTATTAATTAATTTTTCAGGCTAGGATAATTTTAAAACTATAGAATAAAGTTAAATATATATGAATAATTTTTAGTTACTAATGAATAAAAATAGCAACCTTATTGTGGCCTCTTATGATAAAATAAACAACAATCGATAATTTGTTGTATTTTCAAGTTTACATGTTTACGTTTCGGGAATTTATTACTCCCATCTTCAGAACTACTATCCCATGTGTCTTTGTCGATTCATGGCTTAAGTTTAATGCGCTCCATTGTCAGATTCTAAATTCATGTTATAACAAATTATAGTATATAATATAAAGAGCATCACCATGCCTTTAGACCGATTATTGGGCGACACATGAATTTAGAACCTGACAATGGAGCACATTAGACGTAATCCATGAATCGACAAAGAAACATGGGATTGTAGTTCTGAAGATGGGAGTAAAAACTTCCCGAAACGTAAACATGTAAACTTGGAAATACAACTAATAAATCGATTTTTGTTTAATTGGAAGTTAATATTGCCAAAAACAGAGAATAACATCCAACTTCCCAGCAAAAAGAAAAAGAAGAAGAATTCATAATTTTTTTTAATTTAATATCGCTCCTACCTTAGGGAGTCATTGGTGGTTAGTTTTTTATAATCTACTGTAGTATTGAAGTAAAGAAGCAAAGATAAAATTTAATTCAATGTTCTTCCAAAATTTTGATGATTTGTAAGATTCAAAATAATTAGGTAAATTACATAATAATACTTAATTTAAATATAGTTTTAGAAAAAAAAATATATGAAACTCTTGAAAAAAATCATGAAGACATTCATGTTTCAGAAAACAATAACTAACTTTTTTTTATAATTTTACACAACTTCGTGATGATAAACACTAATTTCTTATAGCCTCATGCACTGGACAGATAATTTTTAGACAATTTTACAAAATCACGAAACAATTTTACTATGGTAAACCCAAACAAATGCACAAACATATAACTTCAAATTTGCGTTTTTCGAATACATAATTTTGATAACGAATTATAATTAAAAATTAATTGATTCACAATACATAAACAGTACAATTCACATTTCAATTAAAATACTCATAATAAATGTGCCGGTTTTTTATTTACTTCAAGATAAATTTTTTTCTCCTGCGGAGGGGGGAGGGATGCGTCCCTACCCACCGCTAATGATGCCATAGCGTTTCAATGCCTTTGATACTACTCCAGTATCCAGGTACCTAACTTCAATTCAATTTTTACATCCTAGCAATTTCCCAACCTAAATTTGAACTGTAAAAATCTATAATGGACTAAAAGTCAAGTCTATCATCACTATCGTATTTGCATTTTAAAAAGTATTATATTACTTATTATAAAAAGTATTAATTCTCCAAAATACGGCCGCAAATGGTAAAATTAAAAAAAACTATTAAAAATATATAATTTAACAAATTACTCACACACGAGGTTATTATAACATGTTTTTTTTTTTCTCTTAGAAAGTTTATTTCACATTTGGAGTATCGTCTATAGAAGAAAATTTTCTTTTTCATCACACCATACCATGGCCCACGGGAGTTAAGTGGAGATCTCAATGCGGCCCGCGGAACATAGTCGAGGTATAAATATGGTCCGCGGGCCTAAAAGTTTTGAGACTCGTGATCTGGTACATAGAGAAGATATGTTAAAATTTTGGCTTTCACAGACAATGAACTATAAATATTCACGGGTTATAGTTCCCAAATATAAACTATTCAATTTCATGAACGTTAAATGTCCAATCATCACATTGAAATTCATATGACGTTAACAATTATAAGACAGTATTGTAATTTTGTTTACTCAGAGACGAAAAGTAGTTTAAGGATGCATTGAAATTCGGTTAGACTTTAAAAGGAACTAATGATTAAAGAGCTATTTACGACCTGCTTGCATATTTAGCTCAAAGGCTTGCAACAAACTTAATCATCTTTGATTTGTGTTCACGTTGGTCTAATCCTCGGAAAATTTTATGTGTTAAAAAAAAATTAATGTTTTTTGATTGAAATATTTTAAGCAGTGTTTGCGTGTTGGAAAAAAAACTTCAATATCTTTTGATCCAATAATAGATATAATTAATTAATTAT